GGCCTACCTACTCCCCTTTTCTGCTAAATTAAAGTTTTAGCAGCTATTACTGGTGGCCAACGCTGCTGAAGTTAAATTCTCCTGTGATTGTTAACATAGATTCCTGTGAAACCAGGTCCCTCCCATCAGCTATACAAGTCATTGATTATTTGAATCAAAATGCTGGTGGTGTCATTTGTCTTTGTTAAAATGAAGCTGGTTGGTTTCTCCCATGATTACAACCTGTTAAAATCCTTTTGACTCCTAAAGACTCCAATTCATAGTAGCTCTGTCATTTAGAAATTGGAAAAAATGATCTTAAAACAATCAGTAGTAGCATCATCATCATAATTATCTTCAGATCCAAATGGAAGAAGGTTTAAAAAAAAAGAAAGATGTTTAAGCAACAATAATAATTTGTCAGTAAGCAGCGTCAAAGGACTGAACTATGAACCACAGAAAGGTCAGAGGTCAAGCTGGCCTTCCGTAAGAACTGTCACAGGAACTCAAACTCCACAACTTCTGTTCCCACCTTGCATCTCTTTCCACATGGCAGCCTTCTCCCTCTCTAACTTCGCCCTGGTTTTTTCCAATGGCAGAAAGCATAGCTGCCAACAACTCCAGAGCTATATTTGTTGCAGTTTCTTCCTTTGAAGGAGATTGATCTGGTCCCAAAGGTATAATCCAGGAAAGAGGAAAAGGGGCTCAATATCATTAGCTGTCAGAAAAATGAAAATCAAAACCAGACTGAGATGCCGGGCCCAGCAGTACCCACACCTGTAACCCCTGTGACTCTGGAGCATGAGGCCAACCTTGGGAACCTAGCGAGACCCTGTCTCGAAATAATACACAAAAAGCACAGGGATGTAACTCAGTGGCAAAGTGTTCCTGGATTCAATCCCTAGCATAAAAAATATAAATAAATAAAACCACTGAGATACCACTTCATACTCATCAGGATAGCTATAATCAAAAAGCCAGACAGTAATAAGGGTTGTCTTAGGTAAGGAGAAATTGGACCCCTCATTCATCACTTGTGGGAACATAAAAATGGTGCATTTGAAAAACAGTCTGGCAGTGCCTCAAATTGTTAAATACTGTTACCATCTGACTCCTAAAGAACTGAAAACATGGCCACACAAAAGCTTTCTAGGCCAAGGTTTACAGCCATATTATTTGTAATAGATAAAAAGTAGAAACAACCAAACTATCTGTCAACTGATGAATGGATCAACAAAATATGGTATGGTATATATCCATACAGTTGATTATTTATTGAGCATCAAAAAGGATGAATTACTGATATGTGCATAAACATTATGCTGAGTGAAAGAAATCAGACACAAAGGCTACATATTCTATGATTCATTTAGATAAAACATCCAAAACAGGGAATTTAGAGAGAGAGAATCAGTGGTCACCAGGGAATAAGGGTGCAGAATGATCACTGACAGCTAATGAACACAAGGTGGTTTTTTTTTTTTTTTGGGGGGGGGGGCTTATGAAAATATTCTAAGACTAGACTGTGATGATGGAAATATAACTATATAATTAAACACAAAAAAAACTATTGCAATGATTAATTTAAAAGTCAAATTTTATGGTATGTCAATTGTATCTCAATAAAGCTGTTGAAAAATAAACCCAGAAAAGGAAACCATTGACCCAGCTTAGGTCAGATGCTCTATTTTGAACTTACTTTGAGTAGGGCAGAAGGAGCAGAGGGGAAGGTTTGCAAGACTATGGTGGCTCCTCTGTGCAGAGTTTATGTTATAATAGTGGGTGGGGCACAGGTCCTAGATGAGTTAGGATTTTTCATAGACAAAAAAAAAAAAAATAGGAGCCCACCACACTGGCTATTTATAGAGAATTTACAGTCACCCAAATACTGAGTGAAGTGGTTTTTTTCTGAATTACTATTACAACTCTGGAGATACCCATCTTATGGGTGGCACAGGGTCAAATTAAATGGCCCAGTACCATTAAGCTAGTTAGTAAGTAATACAGGGATAGGGTTCAAACTCACATCTGAGTCCAGTCTCCTCTCTCAATTATTAGGCCATGCTGCCTCCCTCTGGCTTTATACAAGTTGTTGAAAAATACTGGAACACACCACTGGAGACCTAACTTTAGATCCACTCTTTGTTTCACTTACTGTTTCACTAAAGTCAATCCTTGCAAAAATTGTGAGCTTGGAAACTCTGAGCTTTCTTTGCTGGCATAGAATCCCCCTTGACAATCTTAAAGAAGTTCCAGAAGTCTAGAGATGGTTACTCAACCCCCTAATAACTACATTGCTATCCACACCACCTTCCTAAGCTTGTCAAGGGTATAAAGAACTGGGACGAGAACACATCGTGCTCAAATTATGATGCAATAGGTCTGTAACAGTCTCCTGATCCATCAGCCAGTTAACCTTGCTCTCACAACAAGAAATCGGGTTAATTTGGCAAGACGTGTGCATAGCAAACCAATACGAATTATTTTCCAAGTGTTCCCAAGCTGTCCACTTAATAATCTGCTCTCACATTCTGCCAGCAATGCTATGGCAGAATTGATGGATGCCAAGCCTGTTGGCCTGTGGTTTCTCAGTTCTCCTTTCCCCTTCTTTAAAAATATAAATGCAAGAGTTTTCCATCTCTATTCTCTTGGTATTTCTCTGCTGTACCATGATTTCTCAGAGATCATGAGCAGTGGTTCTGCATCCCCATCTGCACAGTCCTCCCATGTCCCAGGGTCCACGTGGGCCTGTGATGCAAGTCCACTCCCCAACTTCCAGCTAGCTCCAGATCCTTCCTATGGACATTTGTCCCAGCCTTTCCAAGATGAGGCTCATTCTTCAGAGAGGAGAAGGCAGAAACACCTGGTACTGAGGTTGTTTTGCTGTGCCTCTGTCATAGGCTACTGGCAGACCACTTGCCTCAGCAGTGGACATAGCCCCTCCTCATTCTTTCTTCGAATGGATAAAGCAATCTTTCTGTTGACCTTGGCATTTCCACTAGCCTTGGTCACTCTGAAACAGCTTTGGTCTTGTATGCTCTTGCCACACTTCATTTTCCTCCAAGGCCATGACTGCCTCTCAGCTGGGTCATCTGAAAATCCCAGCTTAATCCCAGGGGTGGCTTGCTTTTCTCCAGCACTGTGATTCTTTGAACTTGGGACAACTAACTGTGTTTTTAGAGTTTCCCACCAATGGAGATTATGGATTCCAGAATGCCTAGATGGAAGCTGGATATGTCACAGTGGGACTGTGATACAGGTTACTATTCTCATCTTCTCATCTTTATTTTATAGATAAGGAAAAAGAGGACCCAAGTAACAGTCCCTTAAAGTCACACAGTGACTAATGGTGGGATGGGGTTCTCGGACCCAGGTTATCTCACTGCAGAATCCACCTTCTCAACCTCTTCAGTTAAAGCCTGCCCTGCATGTCATGGCCAAGAAGGCAAATCTGGCCTGCAAAGAGCCCTGAGGAGCATAGCAAGCTCTGATGTTAGTGTGTGTCTCAGGACCCTTGAGCAAGTACAAAGGCCTCGACTCTGAGGAGGAAGAAGGCAGTTCTCAAAACAGGAACCTGCTTCACAGGGGATAGAGGGGCTTCAATGAGATCATCCATTCTTTACCCTACAGCTATCAACCTCTGCTGCACCCTCCACAAAGCCCTTAGCCGTTTGGGTGAGGACCTTAGAATTCTGAAACAGCTTGCCCATCCCCTTCCACATCTTCTCAGGGTCCCCTCAGGACAAGTGACTTTGAGCCTACTTCAGCAACAACCATTCGTGGTCATGCTAAGCCTGTTTCTGCTAAGAGGCAGGGGAGATAATGTTTCTGGCTTTGGCCAGAGGAGTTATCACAGCTCTTTGCTTAATAAGGCCTTTAAATTATCTCAATAAAGAGGAGGCTAAACACTTAACCACTGTGGAGAGCATCTTATTGATTGGAGGAGAGAGACTCTGGCCAGCTTGCCTGGGGCTGAGTGGGAGCCAGACCACGCCAGTCCCAGCGGGCAGCTGCCAGGGTGTGAAGTACCTTAAGAGAGTTTCTCCAAGCTCTGAGAGGAACCGGCACTGTCCCAATGTGGCTTCACAGCTTAAGGGGCTGAGTTCCAGATACTGGTCCCGCTCTGAGACCAGGGTGGTCAATAGAAAATAAAAGCAATAGAAGTGGATTTTAAGCCCGTCTGAGGGAAGAAGGGCAATTAATGCAGTGTCCCTGAGCCTCAGCGCCTGCATCTGTGAGGTGGGGTTAAGGGCAGAGTTCACAGGGCTCAGGGGCTTATGAGAAGTCAATCTGTAAGAGTGCTTTGTCACCTATAAACCTCCACAGGAATAGAAAGCAGGTTTATTATTTTATTTTTATTATCATAAATGAGACCTTATTGCTCTTTGGCTTAAAATTCACCCATGTCTTCCCACTGTACTTGGGATAAAGTCCGTACTCCTCACCGTGACCCACTGCACTACTGCATGCTCTGCCTGGCCTGTCCCTCAACCTCCTCTGACATCACTCTCCCCCTCCCTCCCTGTTTCCAGTCCCACTGGCCGATGGACAGTTTCTAGAAAGAGTCATCCTCCTTCCTACTGCCTCAGGGCCTCTATACTTTCTGTTCTCCCACCTGGCACACTCGTGCCCAGGTATTTGCATAGCTGGACCCTTCACCTTCAGCCTCAGAGAGGCCTTCTCTGACCACACTACTGCCACCTGACACGGCATCTATCTCTATTCTCTTTCTAGAAAAAACTACAAGCTCTAGTTTTTGTTGACATACTCACTTTCCTGTGTATGGTCCCTTGTAGGAAGTTGGCTCTGTGAACGTAAAGACCCGGTCTCTTTCGTTCACTCCTAGGTTGGATCACTGGACCTGGCACATAGTAGGCACTCTAAACAATATTTGAACAAACCAAAAAATGGGTGAATTGGCTGGGAAGCCTGACTTGGTCCCCAAATGGTCCCTTTCTTCCTTACACTCTGCTTCTTTCTCTCTCTCTCTCTCTCTCTCTCTCTCTCTCTCTCTCTCTCAGATATGGAGACATGGTGCCCAAGACAATTGCAGGAAAGATCTTCGGCTCCATCTGCTCCCTGAGTGGTGTTCTGGTCATTGCTCTGCCAGTCCCTGTGATTGTTTCCAACTTCAGCAGGATTTACCACCAGAATCAGAGAGCCGATAAACGCAGGGCACAAAAGGTAAGTTGTGGACCCAGGAATGGCGGCGGGGGTGGCATGAAGGGGAGGGGGCACAGGTAGGTTGTCAGGCCTGGGGTCCTTTGGAGGATCGCTATATAGCTGCCTCTGACTGGGGAAGGTAAGGTAGCCTTGTGTCCCTAACTGCCCACCGTGTCCTTAATTCCAGCCCCAGTTAGCTGCAAAATGCAACAGACCCTCCAATATCCATAAGCTGATCATCCCCCTTTTGGATATTCTGTGGCACTTCCTTGGTCCCTGGCTCCACCCTCTCCCAGCCAAGAGCTTGCTGGTAAACACAGTTCTGTTTTAATATAATAGCCTATACAAAATCTAGTGACAAAAATAACTGTGCCAAGAAGAAAAATGAACACCATGAAAGGAGAACAATCTGAGGCCACTGGGTTCAGGGATAAATGGCACATCAGGCTTTAGTAACCTTCAGGGTGTCATAGGGTGAAGGCACAGAACTTAACTGATGGGCTCACCACCAGTCCTCAGAAAAGGTCTAAATTATGCCCAGTGTGCACTCCCAAAGTCAATGGAGAAGGGCAAAGTGCAAGGGAGCCACACGTAGAAAGGCTTGGGCTCTGAGGATGTTCCTGCACAACTCGCCCTCCATTCTAGAACAACTCGCCCTCTCAGCCAGCTCTTACTCCCCTGAGTTTCTAAGGCATCTGGCTAGTGAACGTAAGGCAGGAATTTGTACCAGTGTTCCCAAAAGGAAAGGGCTGAGGGCAGTTTTCCATTTCCCTCCTGATCTGGGCCAAAACAGGGTACCCATCGGCAGCATCTCTGCCTCCAAGTGGCAGGGTCAGAGCCTCTGGGTACAAAGGCCAGGAGGGAACCTCACTAAAAGATTGGCTTATAGAGGCCTGGGCTTTTGTCTCCTTATTTTAGGCTTTCTTTCATTCCTTTACAATACAAACATCTACTGAGCATCTACTATGAGCAGGCCTATTATTTCCTCCCACTTGTAAGGATAGGCCTTAGGCAATGGTACGGCTTCAGTCTGGATCAAAGAACTCCAGAATTTCAGAACAGATCTGTATATACTATCTGTGACAGAGCCACAAATTTGTGAACACTAGCTCCAAAATGTATAACACTTATTATATTTTACATAGAATAATATATAATAAAAGATACACAATTTCTAATTATATGGTAACCCTTGTTTCTTACCTCCAACAGATCTTGTGCCCTTGTGGTCCTGTCCCCCTCTTCCTGTGCTAAACTTATTTTTACTTATCTTGACCTGTTCTTTAATGTCATCAGCCTCATGATTTTCTCTTCTGTTGTCCTCTCCGACCTTTCTAGCACCTGTCTCACCCAAGGTCAGGATTGCCCTTCCCCCACCGGCTCCCAGCCATCTCAGAAATGAAATAGTCTTATCTCCTTCCCTGTTGGAGTCAGCTGGCAAATTTGAACAATGTCTAAATTCATTACACAGTTCTAAATAAAGGGGCAGGGGGAAATTGGAAACTCATATCCAGTTTCTGGATATGAAGCCTAAGGCTGAAGATCCAGGAATCCTGTCACATATACACCCTCCCACCCCCCACCCCAAGCTGACGTAGGTTTCTTGGGCATAGCAGGTGGGATTCCCAAGAATTCTCTGCTCACATGGAACAGTCCATCGCAGCTGGGCTCTAGGTCGCTCCTACAGCCCCTGCCCCCCTCCCTACCCACACTCTTACCTACTTCTTAGAGCATCTCATCTGCAAAGAACATAGCCGTGAATGTGTCCCTTTGGGACTGAATAAAGCTCATTGTGTGTGATTAGAATCCAGAAGGAGTCAATCTGGCTTATTCCTCCCTCTTGCTGCTCAAGAGGGCTGGGTTGTCCCTCCCTCCCACCCTCCTCTCCTTCTTCATCTCCCTTTGAAATCAGAATAAATATTTACAGTGTTTTCGCCTGGATACTGTTTCTCCTCAAGGTTGCTCTGCTCTGTCTCTTTCACCTTGGACTTCCTGTGAGAGGAAAAAAACAATACTGCCTGCTTCCAGGCCGAGTCTGTCTTGGTGAGCCAAGACAGGCAGGCCCAGGTACTTCATGGGAGTGGAGAGCTGGGCATGGGAGGAAGGAGGTCAGGGAGATTAATGTTAGTCCCCAGCTAGACATCATGGCTGAGGGCCATCAAGGCCACAGAGGTAAGCTCCAGCCCAGAGGACTTGAGTGCAGGAAGTTCACATCGCCATCTCTATCTGTGGACACTGGTTCGCTTCAGTCTGCATGCTGAGTCAAGAGAAGTAGAGGTCAAGTGGGGAGATCTTGCAGTGCATGGGCAGAGGGACATTTGGACCCTTGTCCAGCTCTGGTGCATGCCCATATCCTTTGTTTATGATGGGATATTTCAATAGGTAACTATAAATTCACAAGTAGTTTTCAGAAATAATACAGAGAGTCAGATGCAGTGGCAAATGCCTATAATCCCAATGGCTTGGGGTTCTGTACCAGGAGGATCGAGAGTTCAACGCCAGCCTCAGCACTTAGTGAGGCCCTACGCAACTCAGCAAGACCCTGTCTCTAAATAAAAATACAAAAAAGGGCTGGGGATGTGGCTAAGCACCCCTGGCTTTAATCCCCAGTAAGAATAAGAAAGAATAAAGAGAGATCCCTTGTATAGTTTTCCCCAGTTTGGGCAACATTTTATAAAACTGTATAGTAAGGGCTGGGGTTGTGGCTCAGTGGTAGAGCACTTGCCTAGCACGCATGAAGCACTGGGTTCAATCCCCAGCAACACAAAAAATAAAAAACTAAATAAACAAAATAAACATATTAAAAAACTGTATAGTAAAATATTATATGGGGTATGGACACTCATACAATTCACCAATCTATTCAAATTGCCTGTTTTACTTGTACCTGTGTATGTGTTTTACAATTTTTTAAACTATTTTTTTATTTATATGTGACAGTGGAATGCATTACAATTCATGTTACACATATAGAGCACAACTTTTCATATCTCTGGTTGTATACAAAGTATATTTACACCAATTTGTATCTTCATACATGTACTTTGGATAATGATGTCCATCATATTTCACCATCATTTCTAACCCCATGCCCCTCCCTTCCCCTTCCACCCCTCTACCCTATCTAGAGTTCATCTATTGCTCCCATGCTCCCCCTCCCTATCCCACTATGAATCAGCCTCCTATTATCAGAGAAAGCATTCCACATTTGGGTTTTGGGGATTGGCTAACTTCACTTAGCGTTATCTTCTCTAACTCCATCTGTTTACCTGCAAGTGTTTTACAATTTCATTACCTAAGTTTGTGCGGACCACCACAGTCTGATGACAGTGATACTGAACACTTCCAATACCATGAGGACCCTGTATCGCCCTTTCATAACTAGATCCACCCCGTCTTAACCCAACAACCACATATCTGTTCTCCACGTATAAAATGTCACTTCCAAATATCACATAAATGAATTCATATGGTAGGTAACTTTTGGAAATTAACTTTTTAAATTCTGCATAGTTCCTGGAGTTTCAACCCAAATTGTGTGTATTGATAGCCATTCATTTTTACTGCTGAGTAGTATTCCATAATATGGATGCATCAGTATAACTGTTTGTTGCAGAACTTCTGGGATGATTAGTTTTCAATTGTTACAAATGAAGCTACTGTCAAATGCACAGGTTTTTATGTAAGCTCAAGTTTTAGTATCTCTTAGATAATGCCTTAGGGTGCCACTGCCTGTTTTCTTTTTTGGCCCTTCCAATTCTTTCTTTCTTCTGCTTCTTCTGGAGCAAGAGATATAAACACTCATGGCCAAAGGGCACCCAATGGCTAGACAGCTAGAAAGCACTCAGTCTTAAAAGGCGTCACAAGATTTCCTAGGATTATGGTCTTGATCATAACAGTGTTTCAAACTGTACCGGGGAAGCAGCATCCTCCTTCCAGCTCTCTCCAACCCTGGAATCTCCACATCTGTCAAAAATGCAGTTTCCTGGGCTTTGCTCTTCAACTTTAGAAACTTGTGTGATAGCAGTTGAGATTCAGGGAAGGAAACCAAGTGCAGTGGCATCTTATTGTAATCCCAGTGATTCAGGGGGCTGAGGCAGGAGGATTGCAAAATTGAGACCAAACTCAGCAACTTGGCAAGACCTTGTGTCAAAATGAAAAATAAAAAGGTCTGGGGGTTTGGCTCAGTAGGATGGGGTGCCCCTGGGTTCACTCTCAGTACCACAAAAAAAAAAAAAGAAGAAGAAGGAGGAGGAGGAGGAGGAGAAGGAGAAGGAGAAAAAGAAGAAGAAAGAAATTCAGGGGAGGTGGAGGAGGAGGTACCATGGAAGCAGCACTTGGCTTGAAGGAAGGCCCAAGCTTGCTAGTCCACTACATTGCCCTGAATAAATCATTTCCCTCATACACTTCATTCACTCATTCACTCATTCATTCATTCATTGATATGGTATAGATAACCTCCAAGCTCTCCTAACTTTCATATCATACTTATGGTCAGAGAAGAAAGTAAAACTGACCAGTCCAAGGATCAAGGACCAAGCTTGTACCAATGGCTTAATAAGCATAAATGTCTATCCAACCATATGTGATTATCCTCCTTACCTCCTTGGCCAACACAAACTGCTTGAGCAAAGCATAAAGCCCTGTGCTGGGTGCCAAAGATAAAAATATGCATAAGCCACATGTCCTGGCCCTCAGGAGCTCAAAGCCAAGCCAAAGGGCCCCAACAATTTTCATGTGTTGGGTATGGTTCTGTTAATACATCACAAACCTCTTTATCCTTTGTGAGAAATGATTAAATGATACAGTGCATTGGATATGACAATCTGTTGCCTTAATAGAGCTCAGGGTAAGATAAGATTAAAAGAAGTGCCACAGAGGAGAACAGGAGAATCTTTCATCTCTAGAAAGTAATGAAGACAGACCCCAGATATGAGAAAGGTCTGGCTCTAAGTGGTGCAATCAGATTATATAAGGCTATAATGAGCTTGACACAATTAGATTTCCATAGGCAGCTCTCATCACCTGCCACTCACCCAAGGCAATACAGCCACATGAGTAAACAAGGAGGAACTTGCTTGAGGAGATACAAACATCTAGCCAAGGAGAGGGCTGAAGCAGGATTCCTGGGGAGAACTATTCTAGACCTTGAATGATTTTTTTTTTTTTTTTTTTTTTGCTTAAAGAGGAGGAAGAGTAATAGGACTGACTTACTGGACTTTCTCTCCCAGATTGTTCCCCTTTTCATTCTCTCCTTTATCTAAAGGAGCAGTTGTCCTCAGATTTGTGGCAGGATCTTCCCCACATTTAGAATCCAGGGAAGGGAATGAATTGTCTCTGCAGGGAAATTCTGGCTAATGGGGGACTTTGCAGGAGACATAGTACATCTGCTGACGGCCTGAACACCTGAGCCCATGGCTTCCTTTTAGCAGATGAACCAGGCTGATGGGATGCTTGGGGTTGGGGGAATACTTGGGGAGAATGTGACAAGAAATGGAAATTGCCACAATTTCTCAAGGATTCATCTGCTCAGAATCCATACTGAAGTTATCTGTAGATGTGCCCAGAGGCAGGAGGAGGAAGCCCTCCACTCCAGGATGGGTCTGTGATCCTTGTGGGCTTTTTTCTGCTTCTTGAAGCAAGATCCTGGTGCTGGGTCTAGACCTACAGAGCCTGAAACTCAAGCTGCATTTTTTAAACCAACACGAACCCCTCTTCCCAGTACCAAAGACTCTTTTCTCTTAGTCCCCTCTCTTTGGCTGTGCTGCCGTCATGGTGACGCTGATTATGGTCATTAGGAAGAAGAGCAGCCAGCAGGTGAAGCACGGCCAGCCTCTCCCATTGCCTCTGCAAGCAGGAGAGAAGCTCAGACAGAGTTTCCATGCAAACACCCTATAGGGGGCCTTCTTTGCTGAAGCTTCCCATGTTGGAGCTGGGGAGATTTCAACAGTCCTAGCTAAAGCCAAAGTGGTATATGGAAATGTGTTCCATCCCCCCACCTCCACATACCAGGTCACCTCTCATGAGCACCACATGTATTCCCACCAACATACACAACACAGTGCACATATATTGACACATCCAAACATGACTCACTCCCAAAGTTAGATATGCAATTGTAAATACATTTATTAACTTTAAGAAGTTTGACTCTCTGGTTACTCAGCACTGGGGATACATCATTAAACCAAAGGAAAACTCCTGCCCTCAAAGAGTCTACATTCTAATGGGAGAGAGAAACAGTAGCAAGGTAAATATATAAAACATATTCTTGAGGGGCACATGTGCATTGGTGGCTTTTCTTATAACTAATATTTGGAGACCTTCTGATGCAGGGAACTGTAGTGGATCCTAGTAGAATAAAGACAACTGTCACATACTGTCCTTTAAGGCCCTTGCAATCTAGTTAGGAGATAATACTCAATTGAACAACATTGTGTGATACTGAGTAAAGGTCATGAAACTTTTGGAAGAAAAAAGAATTTGGATAGATGCTATTTCTCTGCCAGGTACACACAGGCTAAAAACCATAAGTGGAAGCTCCTTGGAATTCTCACCATGGCCAAACTGCTCAAAGTGGGTACAGTGTCTCAGAGCCAGTCCCACAGTCTCTAAGCAGAGACGCCACTCCTCCTTGTTGTTAGATGTCACCTGCCTCTGGGAAGCCCACTGTTGCTGGCTTTGCCAGCCCCACTGTCTTTTTTGTATTTGGATCTCCCTCACTATTTCATTATTTCTGCCCGTCACAGAAGGCCCGCCTTGCCAGGATCCGTGTGGCCAAAACAGGAAGTTCCAATGCTTACCTGCACAGCAAGCGCAATGGGCTCCTCAATGAGGCTCTGGAACTGGCGGTAAGTGCCTAAAGGACCTGGCTGGGAACCTTAAAGAGAAAGATGAGCTTGTTTTCTCAACAGACACCAGCACTCCTGTCCAAAAGCGCCCCCCTCCATTCCATTTGAGCCCTGAGGAGGACATTTCCAAATTTTCCCTACCCACACACCTTTCCTATGGGATAGCACCAGTACCCCTAAACCAGCTGCCGATAAAAGCCCCACCCCCACCCCAAAGGTGAGCATGTCCTATGCTGACTCTAAAATTTGGCTCATCTGGATTTTTCTGGTGCCCTTCTACCTGTGGAGAAATTAAGTTGCTGGAAAGAGGAGACGTCACCAGCTTCACTCTCAGTTCCTCCTCTTCTCTCTCTAGGGCACCCCAGAAGAGGAGCACATGGGCAAGACCACATCACTCATCGAGAGCCAGCACCACCACCTGCTGCACTGTCTGGAAAAGACCACTGTGAGTGCCAGTCCACCCCATCTCCTTTTTCCTCCCTGACCCCTGGCCTTCCCTAGGGCTCTGCTCACATCCTTATCCTGCACTAGGAGTCAGTCTGTCCCCTTCAGAGTCAAAAGATAGTGATGGGGTCTGGCAACTCCCAGGAAAAAGACCTAAGAAATGGGGCAAGGTCATAAGGGTGGGAGATCTGCTCAGTCCTGCAGCATCAGAGAAAAGCCAGGCCACTAGCCTTCCCACGCCTTCCACCAGTTCTGTCAGTCCTCTTCTTGATGGCTGAGGGCTAAGGACTCGGCCCATCCATTTCTCAGCTCTGATGTACTGTCACCTTTCAAAATCCAGACCGAATATGCACAGGAAAGTAGAATGTTGATTTTTGTCCCACCCCTGGGGCTAGATTGATGCAATCTGTGGGTTCCTTTGTGCCCTACATTTCTCTTGAAATGGAAGGCAGTGAATGAAGGAAGCAATGTGTATGTTTCTCTAGCCAGCATTTATCAGTTCAAACCCCTGTTGGTCACCCTGCAATTCCTAGGGAGTTCAGATTCTCTGAACTCTGTTAAAGTGGTTATGGTGTAGGGTACCACAGCTGGAATGTGAATGATGCTTGTGCCTCACTAACAGCCTCAAAGAAAGGGCAGTAGGGCTAACCCTGAACCCTTGGCAAAAAGTGCTGAGAATAGTGGGGAAGGAGAAGTCAGAGTAGACAGGCCAAAGGGAAATCCTTCCCTGTTCCTTTCTAGAAACATCCTCCCCCAAAAGCCTATAGTCAGGGATCAATACACTAAGGAAGAAACTTCCTAATTCCAACTATTCTGTATCCTGGCCTCCCAGATGTGGCAGGAATAGATGCTAGATGACTCAATCTGTGCATAACATGGATACTATGAATGGCAGCAGAACCCAGTGAGAACTTCCAAAATGCAAGGTGCTCTGAGACCCTTATTTCAAGGATTTATCACTTAGAGCTGTATATGCATATCTAGAGTTTTTCTCAAAGACTAAACTTGCCAAAGGGATAGGCCCGGACCCAACTGCCCTTTCCAAGTTTGCATGAGCTAGGTGGAATGTGTAAATTGAAAGAACATGGGTGAAAATATTGGGGTTTAAAGGGCTGGAATGATGGTATTGAAAAAAATGGGAGTTTGGGAATTGAGGGATGGTATGCTGGCATTGAATGGGTGGAATGCTGAGTTTGAGGGAAAGAATGTTGGACTGTGGGGGTGGGATTCAGGGATTAAAGCTCTGGAATGCTGGATTTTAGGGGAGGAATGTTGGATTTCAGGGCTGGAATGTTGGGATGGAAAAGACAGAATGTTGGGAGGAATGAAGGAAGGAATGTTGGGGAAGTGGGAGGGGGGTGTCCTGTTGCAGCCAAGGGGTAGAATGTTTGGACAAGGGAGACAGAATGCTGGAACTAGGGATGAATGTTGAACTCAAAGGGTGGAATGCTGGGATTAAGAGTTTGAATGTCAAAACTGGCTTGTGAATGCTGGAATGTACAATCAATGGTGTTTTTATCTTCTGTTGGCATGTTGTCCTGTAGGGGTTGTCCTATCTTGTGGATGATCCCCTGTTATCTGTACGAACCTCCACCATCAAGGTATAACTTTTTAAAAATTCAATTGATGTTTTTCTCTCTGATTCTTCTGAGTCTGTAGATTCTCTTCTTTTTACCCCTGGTCTGGTTCCCTGCATGTGCTGTTGATTCTTCTGGGGCTTTTCCTACCTCTGCTGTCACACATGTACCTGTTCAGGCTTCCAGTTTTTTTGTGCTGAACTATCAAACTCCCTTTCTGATTCCCTTTTTTGACTTCCCAAGGGGCTTAGAGGGGGTGGTAGAACATAGCACCAATGTTGGCATCCTGTAAGTATCCACGCACAGCCTCTGTCCCAGCCACCTCCCTAGCATCTTAGGGACTCTGGGTATTGGCTGCCAGGGCTGGTCTGTCTCTGAACTCAGTTCTCATGCTAATTCTCCTCAGACTTTCTCCTCACCCTGGTAGCCTCAGTCAGACCATTAACACCATGGATTTTTAGTTACCTTGGCCAAACAGCCATTTTCTAGTTATCTTGGGTTCAGCCACCTGCCACCCTCTTGACCTAAATTAGGAAGGAGACTGTTAGCATTGCCTCCCCATGCTTACACTTGACCTTGGGATTCCTGTGCCTCTAAAGTATGTTTAGGATCTACATCCCATAATCAGGAGAAAAGGGGGAAAGAAATCAAATCCCTAACAGTTTGACCCAGGCCCTTTTAAGACAAATGCTCTCCCAATTTTGTAAATGACTCAGTGCTTTTAAAAGTTTCTGTGACAATCTTATAATTCATAAGATCCAAAAAAGACGACACAGCATACTCTACTCAATGACTCCTTATCTGCCATCTCTGGCAGATCTTACAAAGCTTACAAAGAAAAATCTTTGCTTCTAGCTCTGATAATGCCACTGAGTCTCTCCATGTCCTCTGTTTCCCTTCTGCTTAAAGCTATAGATGGATATATCATGACATAACAACTACAGTCCCCACCCTTCAACCTGATGGTCCAGGCTGCTAATATGAATGCTTTCTTTTCACATTTGATGCCCATGGGACCTCACCCAAATGCTTATCAGTGATCTGGGCAGCTGGAAGCCCTTCCTTCAAGGCCCAAAACAGAGACAGGCAGCATTCAGAGTATAGGGTGATGCTCCTGCTCCCTACCTTTTTTTCCCACTTCTTCTCCTTCTGCCTCCCACAGAACCATGAGTTTATTGATGAGCAGATGTTTGAGCAGAACTGCATGGAGAGCTCAATGCAGAACTACCCATCCACAAGAAGTCCCTCACTGTCCAGCCACCCAGGCCTCACAACCACCTGCTGCTCCCGTCGTAACAAGAAGACCACACACCTTCCCAATTCTAACCTGCCAGCAACTCGCCTACGCAGCATGCAAGAGCTCAGTACGATCCACATCCAGGGCAGTGAGCAGCCCTCCCTCACTACCAGGTGGGTGACTTCCCTCCCATGATTCCCAAAGCCTTGTGCAACTCCATTCGCAGAATTCAATAATTTCAGCATTTGGAGAACTTGTGGACCTTCAAGATGCCCCTTTATCTAATGCATGAGCCCGCATCTTCCTTCCACCCCCACCATCTTTCTCATCCTTTGAAGTTAACCCAAAGGCCTTCACAGGCTGTGGGAGGATACAGAGCAGGCCAAAAGTGGGGTTGGGTATTAGGGATTTTAAAACTCAAAAACAATCCAAAATGATCCACCTCAGTGCAAAGAAGGAAATTTTATTAAAGAAATAATTTTCACAATTGTGTTATGCATGGCTTATCCCAGAATGATTTTGAACCACAGATTGACTTTTCCCTCCCTTCTCTGCTTCTATTGAAGCCACGTCCCACTACCTTCAAATAAGTTGCAGAGAATTCAGGGAAAGCAAATGCCAAATGTCACAAATGACAGGTAAATGACCACTGCAGGGCAGGGGGATAGGGTGGGGAATGTATACTCTACATTCCTGAGCCCAATTCACATGACTTTGTAATTGTTAGTAGTTTAGGAATAATAGTTGAGAGTGGAAAATTACAAGCTGATTACCCAAGGCAGAGGTAGACGGTCTCCAAAATTTTCTCCTAGTTCCTAATAAGCAAGAAATGTAGGGGGTCAAGGAAGCTTTGGGCTGCTGGCAAGCAGGAACCATCATCAACTCACTCTTTTCTATCCTAGTCGCTCCAGCCTTAATTTGAAAGCAGATGACGGACTGAGACCAAACTGCAAAACATCCCAGATCACCACAGCCATCATCAGCATCCCCACTCCCCCAGCGCTAACCCCAGAGGGGGAAAGTCGGCCACCCCCTGCCAGCCCGGGCCCCAACACGAACATTCCTTCCATAGCCAGCAATGTTGTCAAGGTCTCTGCCTTGTAAAACCACTGGACAGAAAGCCACATGGGGTAGGGGGAGTGAAGGGGGCTGGCATGTTGGTGGGTGGCCAGTGGGACCACTCCCTCCCCCGTTCTCCACTCTTTCTGCCTGCCCCATTGCACCCCTAGCACTGAGAAGGAAAAAGAGGCAGCAAGGGGCACCCATGGTCCCCACTGCTGACCTGGACATAGCCCTGTGATACTGCATCTCACTGGGGCCAGAGAAAGGGAGGGAGGGGAAGGGTAGGGGACGGGCGGTGGGGGGATAGGCTGCCTGTCAAGGCAGGTCCTGGAAGGGGAGCCTCAGACCAAATGACAATTGTTTCTGGAGTCCCCAGTGAGGAAACTATAAGACCAAGAGCAGCAGAGGCCAAGAGGTCACATGCAAAACAGGAAGAAAATATAACACTGTGTATTTAAGCACCTTTTTCAAGGCTCTTAATGGATAATATTTATTCATGGGAAAAGGTGGAAAACAAAAACACCAACGGATTTTTGTGAAATGTTTTTCTCCATGGACCCAACATCTTTGAACCAAAACAATGCATTTTGTGAGGGTTTGTTTGTTTTTTTTGTTTTTTCCTTCCTTTTATAGCAAAAGCTTTCAGGCTCTAAGTCAGTTATAGCTGAGTTCTTTCTCCATTCTCCCAGGTGGGTGAGGTCAACTGAGTCTGGGCCCTCATTGCCCAGCTGACCTGCACAGAGCTGCCAACTGACCACACAATAACCCTATGCTCTGTCTGTCCCTGTCTCCTTTGTCTCTGTACCTTTCTGCTTCCCCCTGGCTGTTTTTCTCTGAGTCCAACCATCTGTCTCTACATGGATCCAGTGATCCTGAGACGTGCTAGTAAAGCCTTCTCTGTCACTGCCAAGTATTACAGACTTGTGCCTGGGAGTTACATCTGAGTGAATGTAGAGGAAGGAATGAAGCAAGAATGGGGAGAGTTTCGGGATAAGGCCAGTCCACCTAAGAACAAAGATGTTTCCCTTGTCATTGGAACCACTAGTATTTGCAATTGCTCTTTCTGGGGAAGAGAGGAAATGGTCAGATTTATCACACTGAGATCTTGAAAAAGGAAAAGCCAACTTCTGGGAAGCCATCATCTCTAGTGTACCTGTGAAGAGAGGACAGAAGACTCCAGGACTCACAGCTGCAGCTGTCCCTTTGGCACCTGGTGTCTATCCTTCATGTCAGGATCCACCATAAAATCCATCAGGAGCTCTGCAAAAAGACCCCATGAGCAGTTTCTTCCAGAAAGGACAGCATAATGGACAAGAGTCTTCTGACTTACCTCCAGCCTGAGGCAACTCCCACATAGAGGCTGCAGGTTCATCCTGTGCCTCATGAAAGATGTTTCAAAGTATGAAATCAAATTAGAGATTCTTACCTGGTCTGAAAGATGCCTTGGGTCTGAAGCATCTTCAGGCCTGATCTCTGAAGATAGCTGCAATGAGGAAGAAGCTGATCGCCTCCATACAAATGAGGGAATGAAGATTATTTCTTGAAAACCTGGACAGCTTTTTTGTTCTAGTTTGCATCCTGGTGGGGCTGGGAACAGCATTTCTAGAATCCTCCTAACCATTTTCATCACTTATAGCAGAGCAGGTGGGCCTCAGGGTTAGTGACAAGCCCTTTCCTGCCCTCCTCAATCCCCAGCTACCCTACTGCAGCCTCTGTAGCCTGGGCACTGAAATGCACAAGCTTCCCCGGAACTCCTCATACATTCTGCAGCTTGGAGTTTAACTGTTTAATTGTAGGCCAAGAATTTCTCTGCCCACCACAGTCATCTAGATGAGTTTCACCAGCTAGGAACCTAAAAACTCTCTCTGTGGGCTTCCTTCTGACCCCAGTTCAAATGACCCTGTAGGCAGGAGAAGTCAATGGGTTTTGAGGTAACCAGGAGGTAGGCAAAAGATCAGAGGAGAGCCTTCTTTCAATCCTCATCTCCTTGTGCTTATCCTCACTACCCAATGATAGTCCTTTCTCTGGGTCTGGCCTCAAGAATTTCCCCTTAACATGGGAATGGGGTGGCTCCTGCCTTTGCAGCTTTGGTTTAAGAAAGCAGGAAAGTATTACCATACAACTATGGAGGCATATGTGTGCACACAACACATCACCAACCTAAACATATCTGAAAATAAATAAATCCATCCACGTCATACATACATCTCATCATGAAAGGCAGAGAACCAAGCCAGATTCCCATTTAGAAGGCAGGCAAAGGACTAAGAACTTTCTCTTGAATCCATGGATAATGGAACAAAGCTAGGAATTCCTAAGGACATTATTCATCCTAAGAACTGAATGGGGTAAAGGATGGAGAGGTAAATAGGCACAAGGTTGCATATACAAATTGCCTGTGTTTCATTTAAGGTCATTACAGTATTAAGAATAATGACTGATTTAACCATGTCACTTTTGATAGTACACCAAAGGGAGTATGTTAGTAGTCCTTACAAAATTAATTTTAATTGATGTTCCAATTCCCCATGTTTTATTGACCCTAAGGAATTGAATGTTGTATGTTGCTTCATTTTCATTTCCAAAGTCCACATCATGACACTTCCTAATGATCATTAGACCATTCCCTTCATTTCCACCTTTCTTTGCAGCATTAGTCAGTGATGAGTGACCCACCTTACCTCTAGTCCAAAGATGTTAACCCAGGAAAATGGCTCACCTACACAATAGAATACAGCCAGACTACACTGCTAAATGGTATTTTAAAATAAACATACCATCAAAATGTACTGAATCAGCTTAATAAGTCTTAACTATTGACTAGCAACTGAAAAACAAGGAAATCAGTTTTCTGAAGACCAACAGCTTTTTGGTACAATGATGTTGAGCTTCATTTAGTTTGTGAACCACGTTAGCTTAATAAAAGGTTCCCAAAATACTTTTCCCACTCATGGTTTTTGAGGTAACCAGGAGGTAGGCAGTGTTGAGGGCAGGAGGGTTAAAAACAAAACAAACAAAAAAAACCACTACATTCAAATATGTCAACTGAGTGGAAACAGAAAATACAGTAGAGTATATCAAACCTAGAAGAGACTAGGTCTAATTGAATGAATATCTAATTCATTTTATAGTATAGAAAGGTGAGACCCAGAGAAATGGATTTGCTCGAGGCCATGCAGTCAGTTAATGACAGAATTGGGACCAGAAGTGTAGTCCTTTGACTAATGCTTCCTGCCCCCCGCCCCCCAACACACACATTGCCTCCCAGAAGCAATGCTTTGGAGACGACCCATGAAAGACTCCATGCTAGAATTAGAGAGTCTTGTAAATAGAAATACTTCTTGGACACAGCCCTTGGAAATTCTCTGACAGTGCTAATACAAATTGAACTCTAGAAGTTACCATTTCCTGGGTGGAACCATCTATGGACCACCAACTCTGACAGAAACAGATAATAGTCAAGGGTTTTTTTGAGTCAGATGTTGTCTTTTCTCAATGAAGAGAAGGCTAGGACGATACCATTTCAAAGCACACCTTTCCTTATGTTCCTGACAACAATGTCTAAAACCTTGACTCAGAGAGATGAAACAGGCAGACTCATCCAAGTTCATATGGCAAGTTAGTGGCAGAACCACAATTCAATCCAAGACCTAAACATCTTGACCTGAGATTTTTTTTTCTATTTCATATTTAAAAATATAAGGCTTGCTTATATTTTTAAAACCTGGTTTTCAAGAGTGGTGATTAGGGGAGAAAATATTTCATTCAGAACCACCCTGAGGAATCAGGACTTCCAGAAGCAAACTATTATTTTTCCCTAATCCCCTATTTTCCTAAGTAGTGTCAAGCTCAGGACTAATTGTACAGAACCCTTTTCAAGAGACCAATAGATATTCTCAATGACAGCTGAACACATTGTCTACAATAACACAAAATTTAAAAAGAAAGTGGTTAATACTGATCCATGATTAACCAAAACCACATGTGGATATGCTGAGGACTTTATCCAGGTTTTTTTCCTGCAGTTCAGGATTATGTCAAGTAGGGAATGTATACATTAAAACATTATATACCTAGATTTTTTTTCGGTCTTAAAATTTTGCACAGTAGTGGTTGAAATTGAGCTAACACTAGAATTGAGGTTATTAATGAATTTCAGGCATTTACCCCCCTCACTTTAATTACCAGGTAACATAAGGCAAGATCCCAACGCTGTTAATTTAAGGCAATATTAGTATCCCTCTATACTAGTCGGCATGGTTACCATGATAACAGAAACCTGAGAAACTTTTAATTTTTCCCTTTTTGGTTTCCTAATGAATTCTTGTTATTTGCAAAGCTTTAAAATGATCGGATGAAGAAAAAACACTGTTTTGACCCATGACCCTTGGAATGTTTCCCAAACAGAATCATGAAGAGCATCATTAGAACTAAAAGAAAGTGGCTATCAGAAAATGAAACAGCTTTAAAGGGATTCCTTATAAGTCTTGTTTTCTATTTAGGATGTTCTACATTTTTTCTCATCAAATGTGGGAATGACATTATCTTAGCAGGTTACTTTACTACACTGGCCGATATCACTGACCCAAGTCCTGGGGGTGGGGGTGGGAGGCCCTCGGACCAATGGACTATTTTACAAACCTGGGAGGTGGGAGGGATGGTCTATTTTTGATAATCAGACATTCCAGTATGTTTTCCTTAGAGGTCACATTCTCCCATTGTTATTGTGAAAAACATCAATTGTGATTTTTTTTCTATTTTCGTATAATAAATGAGCTTTGCTTAAACAACATCACATAGCAAAGAAATATACTGTACAAAACTGCAGGAAGATAAACGTGAAAACTTTCTATGGGAAAATGACTCTTGAGTTTCCTGTCGTCTTCTTTTGAAACTGTAGTGCATATGTTACAACATGTATATCATTTACAGTATTGAGTCGTGTGCCACTGCTGTACCTGATGTATCCAATCTGGATTAAACAAACTATGTGCCACAAACCCTGAGATTGACTATGAATAGTTATTTTTTTTTAAGTTTTTTAGTTGTAGATGGACACAATACCTTTATTTATTTTCATGTGACGCTGAGGATCGAACCCAGCACTTTACACATGCTAGGCAAGCACTCTACCACTGAGCCACAACCCCAGCCATGAACAGTTTAAGATTAGTTCTCCATTCCTTCCAATGGTACTACCATGCACTAGAAAATAATAGTAATATGAACAAAGAGGGATTTCTACCCAAGAAATGACAATCTTAGGGTTGCATAAAGGCCTAGTCTAACCCACCTACTAGCCTCCCTCAATGTAAGTAACTCTATAAGAACTTCCTGATGGTTCTTGCCTGCCCCTATGCTATAGCAATGGATGTTCACTAACAAATAAACATTTAAAAGGTAAATCACTTAACTACATTTGTCAATAGCTCTTTTGAGGCCCTGCCCTTTATCATCGAAAGAGAACCTGCCATTATGTGCCGTTCTGGTTCTACTAAGAATATATATATAATATCTGCTCCTCTATCTAAACCAAAGTCTCAAGCAATAAAAATCCAAAGTGTTTGTTATATGGGGTTGAATAAAAAGCTTAGTAACCAGAAGCTTGTTTAGGTTCTATCACATATATGACTTCTTATCAGTCACTTTCTCTTTGCTTCATTTCTTTGCTCATCTTAACCAGATTAGATACCTTGAAGATCTGCTTTAAAATTAAGAATTATGTAAGTGGTACGTACAGCTGCCATTTTCATGTTTTAGAGTGGCATCAAAAATATGAATCCTTTTAATTTCCCTACAACTACTAATCAATGAAAACAGAAATAGAAATGGAACATTAAGGCAGATGCTTGATGGCCTAAGGTCCTAGAAGTTGGCTGTTAAATTCATTTTAATCACTAATGCTTATATCCCCATCACCCACTAGGTGTCACTACAGCTCAAATAATCTGGTAGAAAGAAAACCAGATGTGAATCCCTGTTTTCATTAAAAAGCACTAAATGTCAAGTAGGACAGATGTGCTTATTCACAGAGGTACAAATTAATAAACATGTTCTACAAAAATAAGAGGATAACCTTGCAAGAGTTCCAATGTCAGCTATAACTATCAAAAATAAATTTATATCTATAAAATATTTACTTTTAAATATTAACCCAATTTCAGTTTAAGGAGAGAAAGCCCCAAAATTTCAAACTTTTCCCTTATTGATGTGACTTTGCACCATGTACAGCCAGAGGAATGAGAAGTTGTGCTCCATTTGTGTACAATATGTCAAAATGCATTCTACTCCCATGTATAACTAATTAGAACAAATTTTAAAATTAAAAAAAAAAACTACTCCCTTATAAAGTTTCATCTAAAAATACTAGAATTTATATGTACAGTTATTTTTAATATTCTGGGGCTGAAGTCTACCTTTAAACCACATGTCGTTAAAGCTTAGTAAATTTAGGAAATATTACTTTTAATTAAAGAGTAAACCATATTCTAAGTGAGAAATATCCAAAGAAGCAGATTTCCCAAAGATTTCTCTACATGTTAATACTAAAATCCTAATTCAAGTTAAAGCATATGGATTGAAAACTATTTGAAAATTTAGACATTTAACCAATCTGCATCAGAGTTCATCCACACTACTTGAATTTATAAAGGTCCTCTATATTCATAAATTTCATTATGGTTTTCTATGATTAGAAAATATTTTTGCTTCATTATGAGTCATTTAACAATTAAATCTTTTTTTAATCAAATATATTATCTAATGAAATCTGGAGTAATGCTATTATACCCATATTGATTACATACTAAAAACTATATGGTGTGAATGAAGATTTTATTATTTTTATACTAGTATCCAATAGGAAGCCAACTAAATGTATAAATGGATAGAGAAAGCAAATCCTTGTACCACCAATTCTGCATAATTATTTGCCAGATCACTATTAAGTCAGGGTGGTAATAAGGCAAATATTTGTAGTGATTTTTCTTTCTTTTCTTTTTTTAAATTTTTTAAATCTTTTTAAAAAATTTTTTTATAGTTGTAGATTGACAGAATGCCTTTGTTTATTTTTATGTGGTGTTGAGGATCAAACCCCAATGCCTCACGCATGCTAGGCAAGTGCTCTGCCACTGAGCTACATCCCCAGTTCTATGACAATTAAATCTTTTTTTTTTTTAATATTTATTTTTTAGGTGTAGATGGACACAACACAATGCCTTTATTTTTATGTGGTGCTGAGAATCGATCCCGGGTCCGGCCTGTGCTAGGCGAGCACTCTACCGCTGAGCCACAATCCCAGCCCAACAATTAAACCTTAAAACTAAAAGGAACCCTAAAAATCTTCCACTCCCCAGTGCTAACAATCAAACCC